ATCTTCCTCAGCACTTAAAAAAGTATATTCAGTTATAAACAGAAGCATAATTATTCCTAATATGAATTAATTATATGACCATATATGTGATGATTTGTTTCTCTTGCTCAGCAGTTAAGTGCCATTAAGCACAGATGTTTTGGCTTGGGTTCCTCCAAAAGCAGGTCCTGAGACAAGGATTTTAGTGCAAGTGGGTTATTGGGAGGTGATCCCAGGAAGCACCACTAGGAGTGAGAAAATGAGCAGACAAAAGAAGAAAATTAATAAAGGGTATGTTAATGAGCTGGTCACTACCATGTGCCACTGAGCTCAGCTCTGCTGACACTTCTGGGATGCTCTGTAGAACATAGAACATGCCTCAGAGTTATCCTCCCTTGGATAACTGAGATTTATATACCAACCAACCCCCATCTCTCATAGCTTGAGTGCCCCTAAGGTAGGAAAGTATTAACTTCTCAGTATTTCTTTCCTAAGGCTAAATGAAACTTTCAGCAAAAAAAGTCAAGGTGCTGATGGTTGGAAGTAATAGGGTCAACATACACAGGGATAGTGAATGCAAAGGAGATATGGGCAAGACACTAACCGTTTCTGCTATAAATCTATTGCATCACTTAGCAGAAAGTATGCCATGTGGTAGATGCTCAATGCGAAAGGGAGGAAGGAAGGAAAAATGAAGGAAAGAAGGAAGGAAGGAAGGAAGGAAGGAAGGAAGGAAGGAAGGAAGGAAGGAATTAACTGCCCCTTCTAAATCCACATCCAATCTAAGCATCACACTGAAACTGACTAATTGATGGATAAGCTGATTCATGATAGGTCTGTGTATTCTATTTTATGTATCAATGTTGTCTACTGCACACTACAACCTCCCAAAATCCTTTGAGGGGATAAGAAATGCAATTAAAATGTTAAACAGAAACTAACAATCTAAAGAAAACAGCATAAAGAAGGGCAAATTTTCATTTTTCAGGTAATGAGTTAAACTATGAAATGATGCATGCTATTCACTGCAGCACCATTTGTAATAGCAAAAGACTGGAAATGACTTTAATTTCCATTGACTGGATATTTCTTATGTAATTATTGGTTACTTTTATGTTTGATAATAGTCACAAATTCCTGGCACAGAAACTCGGGAGAGAGAACCAGTGTCAGGGTAGCAAAACCTGAACTATAATTAAAGAATCGCTGGAGGCTCAGCACAGACAACTCTGCAGAGTTAAAAATCCCAGGGGACCCAGTTATGGCAGAAAGGACACAATATTGTGAGATTTACCACCAGAAGTTCAACCAGATTCCCATAGTAAATATCAGAGAAAAATCCCCTCCTGCTTCTGACAGGAGGAGGGGAAAAGGAATCCCTTTGAAATATGCCAGAAAACTCTGTTCCTGTTGACAAGGACTGGCCTTAGGTGAAACCTGTTAATCAGAGCCCACTCTGCTGGGGTATTATTAGAGACTAACTGACCTGGGGAAGGGAAATACCCAACTCTAGCTATCTCTAGCCATCCTATCCCAACTAAAGGGCGAGAAAAAACTGAGAAACACTGTGAAGTTCACAGACAAGAGGCGCAGGCTCACAAAAGATTGAGACCTAATCATAAGACTATAGAAAGTTTCCCCTTCTCCCACACCTCACCACCACATTATTAAGTGTCTATTTATAGCAGTTCCTTTTACCTGGTACATGTCTGGCTATCAAGAAGAAATTACAAGGCATAGCAAAAGGCAAAAAAACACACAGTTCAGACAGAGTTTGAAAAGACAAAGCAAGCATGAGAACCAGACATGGCCAGGATGTTGGAAGGATCAGACTGGGAATTTGAAATAACTATGATCAATATGCTAAGGGCTCTAATGAATAAAGTAGACAGCATGCAAGAACAGATGTGCAATGTAATAAAGAGGTGGAAAGCTTAAGAAATAACCAAAAATAAATGCTAGAAATAAAAAAATAACACTGTAATAAAAATAAAGAATGTCTTTGATTAACTTAATAGACTGAACACGACTGAGGGGAAAAACCTCTGATCTAGAGGAATATCAATAAAATCCTTAAAAACTAAAAAGCAAAAAGAACAAAGACTGACCAAAAAAATAGAACAGAATATGCAGACTGTAGGACAATTACAAAAGGTGTAACATATGTGTAATGGGAATACCAGAAGGAGAAGAAAGAAAGAAAGAAGAAAGAAAGAAAGAAAGAAAGAAAGAAAGAAAGAAAGAAAGAAAGAAAGAAAGAAAGAAAGAAACAGAAGAAATACTTGAAACAACAATGACTGAGAATTTCCCCAAATTAATGCCATGCCAAACCACAGATCCAGGAAACTCAGAGAACACCCAGCAGGATAAATCCCCCAAAATGATACTTCTGCATATCACATACAAACTGCAGAAAGTCAAAAATAAAGGAAAAAAGCTGGAGTTGGGAAAAAAACACCTTACCTATAGAAGAACAAAGACAAGAAATACATTTAACTTCTCAGAAACCATACAAGCAATAAGAAAGTGGAATGAAATATTTAAGGTGTTGAGAGGAAAAAAACCCCACCAAATTAGAATTCTGTACCCTACAAAATTACCCTTCAAAAGTGAAGGAAAAATATAGACTTTCTCAGACAAACAAAAATTGAGGGAATTTGTTGCCAGTAGACCTGCCATGCAAGAAATGTTAAAAGAAGTTCCTTAGAGAGAAGGAAAATGATATGTCAGAAATTCATATCTACATAAAGAAAGGAAGTGCATTGAGGAATAAATAAGTGAAGATAAAATACATTTTTTATTTTTCTTATTCTCAATTGACCTAACACAGTAACAGTTTGTTCAAAACAATAATAGCAACAATGTATTTGATTATATATATATATATGTGTGTGTGTGTGTGTGTGTGTGTGTGTGTGTGTGTGAAATAAATGAGAGCAATAATAAAAGAGATGAGAGAAAGGGACTAGGATTATTTTGTTATTGTAAGGTACACACATGACCTGTGAAGTGGAATAGTGTTATTTGAAAATGAACTTGAATTAGTTGTAAATGTACTTTGCAAACTCTAGGGCAACTAAAATAAAGTTTATAAAATAAAAAAAGAGGTATAACTGATATGCTAAGAAAGGAGAGAAAACAAAATCATAAAAAATTCTCCATTAAAACCACCAAAGGTAGGAAAAAAAGGAACAAAGAACAAGGGCAACGAATAGAAGACATTTAAAAATATGGTAAATGTTAATATCAATAATAACTTTGAATGTCAATGCCTAAATAAATGAATTAAAAGACAGATTGTCAGAGTATATAAAAAACACAACCAAACTATATGGGTTTTCTACTAAAAAACAAACAACAAAAGATCTTAAATATAAAGACATATAGATTAAAAGTAAATGAATGGGGAAAAATATGCCATGATATCACCAATCAAAAGAAAGCAGGAGTACATATATTTTTTCCAGGCAGAGCACACTTCAAAGTAAGGAAAATTATCAGGGATAAAGAGAATTACACAATGATAAAGGGATCAATGCTCCAAAAAGACATTACAATTGTTAACATACAATTGTTAACAACAGAGCATCAAATTACATGAGGCAAAACCTGGTAGAACTGCAAGGAGAAACAAATGAATCCACTATCACAGTTGGAGACTTCAACAACCCTCTTTCAGAAATGGACAGCTCCAACAAAAAACCAGGAAGGATATAGTTGAACTTAACAACACAATCAATTGGATGTAATTGACGTCTATAGATGACTTCGTTCAACAACAGCAGAATACATTTTTCTCAGTCTCACTTTGGAACATTCACCAAGACAAACCACATTCTGGGCCATAAAATAAATTTGCTGTAACAAATTTAAAAGATTAAAAATCATATGATGTCTGCTCTCAGACCACAGTGGAATTAAACTAGAAATCAATAACAGAAAGGTCACCAAAAATGGTTGTACCATTTTGCATTCCCACAAGGAATGCATGAATTTTCCTATTGCTCCACATCCTCGTTAGCATTTGGTGTTTTTAGTGCTCCATATTTGGGTCATTCTAGTAGGTGTTTATCTCATTGTTGTTTTGACTTGCATTTCCCTAATGACATATGACATGGAACATCTTTTTGTATGCTTATTTGCCATCTGTGTATCTTCTTTGGTGAGGGGTCTTTTAAGGTCTTTAGCTCATTTGTTAATTGGATTGTTTTCATTTTTAGTTGTAGGAGTTCTTGGTATATTTTGGATAATAGTTCTTTATCAGGTGTGTCTTTTGCAAGCATTTTCTAAATTCTCTTAATTTCTCTATCAGGCTATATTTTTAAAAACAGACAATATCCCTATCACCTTTCTGTAATTTTTATGTGCAAGATATTCCTGTGGGCAAGGTACAACCACTTTGGAAGACATTTGGGCGATTTCTCACAAAACTAAACATACTCTTAACATAAAATCATGCTCCTTGGTATTAACTCAAAGGAGATGAAAACATGTTCACACAAAAACCTCCATATGGATGTATATAGAAACTTGATTTATTACTGCCAAAACTTGGAAGCAACCAAGATGTCCTTTAGTAGGTGAGTTGTGGTATATCCAGACAAAGGACTATTATTCAGGGCTAAAAAAAATGAGCTATCAAGCCATAAAAAGACATGGAGAAATCTTAAATGCATGTTACTAAGTGGGTGAAGTTAATCTGAAAAGGCCACATATTGAAATATTCCAACTATATGACATTCTTAAAAAGCCATAACTATGGAGACAATAAAAAGACCAGCTTGTCAATTTCTATAAAAAATTCTTCTGGGATTTTGATTGAAACTGTGTTGAAACAATTTGGGGGAAAGTGACATCTTAGCAATACTGAGTCTTCCAATGAACATGATCATGACTCCATTCATTTAGATTTTTAATTTCTCTCATCAGTGTTTTCTACTTTTAAGCATACAGATCCTGCACATATTTTGTAAGATTTATATTTAAATAGTTCTTTTTTGGTGCTTTTTTTTTTCACGTGTCACACATCTTTAATGTAGTGCATTGGTAGAAAAAAGGCCAGCTTTCGCTCCCAGGCGTGCTCTCCTTAGTTTAATATCATGATTTAGAAGATGCAGATGTTATTGCCTAAATATTATTCTATACATTTCCATCAGTGTTCAGGAAAATGGCTACTTAATTTACACCATAATTACTGGGTTACAGCTTTAGCTCATTGGCAATTTTGGAAGCAATATTTTTGAAAGCTATGGATGTCCCTGAGAGCCGCTTGAACCGGACCCCATTCAGCGAGTCTTGGCCGCTTGCACACCTCCATCTCCCACTGCACGAGGTTCTCTGCGTGCCCATCGCCGTGGACACAGAAGAGGAGGAAGTGCTCTCTCTGCTCATAGTCGCAGTTATTGGCGTCCAGCACTTTGCGGATTTCCCGCATCATGTCACCGGGGTCCATGGAACTAGTGGTTTTCATGCTCCAGGTAACGCGCAGGGAACGAGGCTTTGCTTATTTGCTGTCATCCTTTTGCTCAGCAGACACGTCGCGACTTCAGCCCTCATATCTCCCGTTCCTCTCATATTCAGTTGGAAGCCTCCTGGTGAGTTTTGAGGTTAATTTACTGAAAAGATTAGTGGAGCCTCGGCTTCGGGTCTGTGACAGTGGCGTGGCTTCGTGGGACAGGCTGGGCGAGGCGGGCAGGCCATTGTAGGTGGTGGTCCGCCGCTCCCGGGGCTGGCCATGGAAAGTGCTACGAGTGGCAGTGCCTCTGGGGAAGCAGATTCGATCCGGGGTGGTTGCACTGCTAATACTGTGTGTGGAAGCAACTGGGGTTCTCTGATCAGGAATAGTGCTGTTCTCTCTGCCATTTGGAATTACTGAGTCTCTATCCGTTGTAGCTCTTTCACTGCAAACATAAGTATTCCGCCGAGTCATTCCGCCAGATGCTGTATTACTACTTGGGACAGCGGAGCTCTTCTTGCGTTCAGGAATATCCGCCTTGTTGGGGTTGCTTGCATTCCCGAGCATGGGACTGGCTGGAGCAATTCCCTTTCCTCCAAACAGCACTGCCACTTGACTTCCGGGAGGGAATTCCATCTTTTTTGAGGTCACCATCTGCAGTGCTGGTCTGACTCCTTTTCGGATATGCCACAACTGAAGGAACCGCCGGCCCAGCATGGTCACTGTAACGCCGCTGCTTCTGGCTTGAGGAAACACTTCTCTGCACTTTGTGGTGCGGAGACTGGCCAGTGCTGTTGTTGAGGTCACTGCTTGGCCTAACCTTAGCAAGTGAAAGATTGCTGCTAGAACTGGAGTCACTAGCATCCAGCTCTGAAGATTTTCTCCTCAACAACAAATATGTAGCTGTGATTTCATCATATTTCATTTTACTCAGAGATTCTTGGATTTCTTCTTGTGAATATCCCATTCCCACCATAATATCTATCCTCTTCTGATCTGAGATGTCTAGTTCTGGCTCAACAAATGGCTTGAGCTCGTCCTCCTCATGGCCGGCATTGATCCACCGGTCCTTCATGATTTGCTCTGGAGTGCCTCGTTTGATTGGACTTAGCACCAGGAAACATTTGAGAAGGTTTTCACAGTCTGTGGACATGTAGAAAGGGATTCTGTATTTCCCTCTTAATACTCTCTCTCTCAGTTCCTTTAGGTTCTGTCCATCAAAGGGGAGCGACCCGCTGACGAGGGTGTAAAGAAAGACACCAAGGCTCCACACGTCCACTTCGGGCCCGTGGTATTTCTTGCCCTGGAAGAGTTCTGGGGCTGCATATGGAGGACTGCCACAAAACGTGTCCAGTTTACTGCCAACAATAAATTCATTGCTAAAACCAAAGTCAGCTATTTTAATGTTCATATCAGCATCTAACAATAGATTTTCAGCCTTGAGATCTCTGTGAACAATCCGCTTCTGGTGGCAGTACTGGACCGCAGACACTATCTGTCTAAATTTAGCTCTTGCTTCTTTTTCCTTCATTCTTCCATGTGCAACCAAATAGTCAAACACTTCACCTCCACTTGCATACTCCATGATTAGGTGGAGTGTTTTGTCAGTTTCAATGACTTCAAATAACTTCACTATGTTTGGATGATTTAAAATCTTCATTATTCTTACTTCTCTGAAGAGCTTTTGGAGACTTGTTGGATTCAACTGCGTTTTGTCAATTATTTTTATTGCAACCTCTCTGCCTGTAAGGATGTGTCTTGCCAATTTCACTTTTGCAAAATTCCCTTTGCCAATTGTTTTCAACAGTCTGTAGTTTCAGATGTGAGGCTGTTCGTCTGCACAGGAAGCTATAGAGTTTCTACAACGAGCTCCTGAGCGCCCGGTGCGAGAGATAACTTCTTGCCGCCCATCTCCGTGTGACGTGTGGTTCTCGGTGTCTCATTCATTCACCGTTGGCAATGGGGTCCTCGTGGACATTCTACTTCACTTCACTCCGCACAACGTGAGGGTGAAACAAAACAGCACGGCCCCAGAGGCCGGCGACCGCGTCCTGGAGTGGCCGGCGGCTCCCCTCCCCCACGGCCGTCTAGATCCCGGGCCGGGCCCGGGCCGTCCCCCGGCGGGTCCCGGGGCTCATGCTCCCCCGGCCCCGGCGAGGAATCCCGCGGGCGGTGGTGGCAGGGCCGGGCCGGCGGCAGCGGGTTGAGGGTCGGCCCGCCGGCGTCCCCACGCCTCAGGGCGCCCCGCGGGCCGGGACCCCCTCGCCTCCTCCTCCGCCCCCGCCCGTCGCACCGCGGGTTTCAGCGCCCGGGCCTCCACACAGCGCCGCTGGCGGCCCCTGAAGAGAAAGCGGAGGAGGATGTGCAGGAGGTGGAGCGCAAGACAGGCCGCCGCGGGCTGCGGGCGCCGGCCACGGAGGGGGCCCGGCTGCTCGTGGTGCTCTGGCTCGCTTTCCGCCTCAGCCTCCGCCTGCTGGCCACCGCCGCCGCCGCTGCCCTTTGGTGCTGTTTTAAATGGTACCTTTTTAAAATTTCAACTTCTGATTGTTCATTTGTAGTATAGAAATATAATTGAGATTTCTGTATTGACCTTGTATCCTATGACCTTGCTAAACTCACTTATTAGTTTTAGTAGCTTTTTAAAAAAACAGAGATATAACTGACATATAACACTATATCAGTTTTAGGTGTACAATATAATAATTTGATATGTATACATTGTGAAATGATTATCATAATAAGTTTAATTAACATCCATCACCACAGTTAATTTTTTTCTTGTGATGACTATTTTTAAGATCTACTCCCTTACAACTTTCAATATATAATACAATATGTTAACTATAGTTACTATGATGTACATTACTTTCCCAGTACTTATTTATCTTATTACTGGAAGTTTTGTACCTTTTGAACACCTTTTCCTAGTTCATCCACTTCCACACATTGCATCTGGCAACCATCAATCTGTTCTTTGTATCTATGAGTTTGTTTTTTTGTTTGTTTGTTTAATTTTTTGTTGTTTTTCATACAGTATTTGTCTTTTTTCTTTGACTTATTTCACTTAATATAATGTCCTCAAGGTCCACTCATGTTATTGCAAATGACAGGATTTCCTTTTTTGTGTGGCTAAATAATATTCCATTGTACACATTTTCTTTATTCAGCCACCCAGCAATGGAAACTTAGAATATTTCCATGTTTTCACTATTATAAATAATGCTGCAATGAACATTGGGGTGCAAATATCTTTTCAATTTAATGATTTTGTTCCCATTGGACAAATACCCAGGAGTAGAATTGCTGGACCACATGGTAATTATATTTTTAATTTTTTGAAGAAAAATACTGTTTTCCATAGTGGCTGCACCAACTTACATTCCCACAAACAGTGTATAAGGATTCCCTTTTTTCCATATTTCACCAACACTTGTTATTTCTTGTCTTTTTAATAATAGCCATTTAACAGCTGTGAAGTGATAACTCATTGTACTTTTGATATGCATTTTCCTGATAATTAGTGACATTAAGCAATTTTTCATATAGCTGTTGGTCATTTGTATGAGGTGTGTTCAAAAACTACAGTGAATGTTTAAATAAAAAAATTATTACAGTAAAAGACACATTGCCATTAATCCCCCTCAAAATATTCTCCTTCACTTCAAACACACTTAGCACATCATTCTTACCACTTTCTGAAGCAGTTCTGGAAGTCCTCTTTTGTGAGTGTCTTTAGTTGTGCTGTCATGGCTGCCTCGATGTCCTGAATCATTTTGAGTTTGGGGAAGAGCCAGAAGTCATACAGTGCAGGATCTGGTGAACAAGGTAGGTGAGGACACATCACAATGTTTTTATTTGACAGAAATTGCCATGTGCCAGAAGTGATGTGTGACATGGAGCATTGTCATGAAGGAGGATGATTTATGGCACACTTTAAAACTCCCTTCTCTCAACCATAGCTCACACCTGACTGACTGCACCAAACTAGTTGAAACTTGTCACACACTGTTACTAAGGTTCAATGCACTGCATCCGGTATTGAAGATCCCTGCCTTTCTGTTGGATGGCACTCAGCAGCAGCATTCACCATATTTTTTTCTTTCACACCTTGTATATCTTTGGAAAAATATTTATTCACTTTTTAATCAGACTGATTGATTTTTTTCCCCTATTGAGTTGTATGAATGTTTTATATATTTTGGATACTTATACCTTATCAGATATACAATTTGTAAAATTTTTTTAAAAATTTTATTGGGGAATTGGGGAAGGGGAACAGACAAGTTGCTGTCCTTTTGTTCTTCAGTCTAGCTGTGGAGGACATCGCTTCACTGGCCCATGTTGGTATTATCATTGTGCTTTTCCCAGGTGAGGCAATTGGTCACCAGCCATTGGATGGCCGTTCACAGCGACTCACAGCAGCTCATGCCAGCTGCCAGCCACTCACACTGGCTGCCAGCCACTCACGCTGGTTGCCAGCCACTCATGGTAGCTCACGGAAGCCCACTGCAGCCCTGCTGCAGCCTTGCCATCACCTCACAGTAGCCCAGCTCCAGGTGGAGCTGTTGTTCACCATCCTAGCTGTAGAGGGTACAGCATCACTGGCCCTCAGTTGGGATCCGAACCGAGGCCCTACTTCTCAGAGCTGGCATTCCCAAGCCAACTCTTAACCAACGCACCACTCGGCCATCCCTGGAATTTGCAAATATTTTCTCCCATGCCATGGTTTCTAGTATAGTAGTTTTTTGGAGATATCTTGAGATTTTCTACATACACAATTATGTTATCGGCAAATAGATAGTTTTATTTCTTCCTTTGTAAGACACATGCATATTTCTTTTTCTTGCCGTATTGCATTGGTTAGGATCTCAACTACAATGCTGAATAGGAGTAGTAAGAGTGGATTTCCTTGTCTTGTTCCTAATATTAGTGAACAGGGAAAGCTTGCAGTCTTATCAAGTTTGATGTTAGCTGTAAGTTTTTTGGGTTTTTTTTTAAGCTGAGCCATCCTGCCACCTGTTGGCAGCTCACTGACTGCTCAGCTCAGGCCAGGAATCGAACTGCTGTTGCTCAGAGCTCAAACTCTTGAGCGAGCTCTTAACCAACTGAGCCACTCGATTGCCCTAGCTGTAAGTTTTTTGTATATATCCCTTTTCAGGTTGAGAATTTTTGTCATGTTTTTGAGGGGTTTTGTTTTAATCATAAATGGATTTTGAATTTTGTCAAATGATTTTTCTGCATCTATTGAAGTAATTACATGCTTTTTCTTCTTTCAGTTGTTGATACAGTGAGTTCATTATGTTGACTGGACAAAATAATTCTCCAGGTAGTCCACCAAAAGAGTGGTTTATTCAGGAAAAAGAAAAGAAACAAAACCACCACAGCAGTGTGGGAATGCACACCTCCAGCCGGGGCTCCAACCAGCCACACATGTACAAAAAGAGACAGCGAGAGTTCTCAAGATGACCTCCATATATACAAATCCCTCCCCCAGAAGTTACCACAAAGGTTAACAGGAAGTCAAGACTAGAGAGTTAACAAAGGGCCCAGCTCCACCCATAGTCCTCCCAGCTCTATGGTTAGTCATCCTAAGATGCCAGTTCACTTTTATCATTCCCCCCCCTCTTGATCAAGATCTTTTCTCTAAAAGCATCATTGATTAACAGTCAGGTCTTCTAGCTCAGGTTTTCCAATGTCCAGACTTTTGTCTCTTGATATATGTTCAGCCTTTTGTCCCTCAATATCAGAAGGGCCTCCTCTGGGAGTCATTTCTTACATCAAGGGGAGAATGCATGGATCAGGATAGAGCTGGTGTCCAGTGTTGAGTGGCATCAGAAGCAGAGCTTAAATATATCAAAGTTAAAGGTAGAAATAGAATAACACAGTAACTTAGCTTACGTGGCAGGGGCTAAATGCATAGGACATCCTGTAATTATCTCAAAGGGTGAGAGCTTATGGGTCCCAAAAGGGGTAGACCTGAGATTTAAAAGGACTAATGACTCAGACGTCATAGAAATGGCGGCAGTGAGGTGGGCTTCCTGAGTTCTCCCCTGGAAGTTACCACAAATTGAACATCTATAACTCATCAAAGGATTCTCTGCTCATCACACAGAACAGCTAAGAGTGTTACACGAGGATTACCTGAAGGTGGGCAAACCAGGCAAATGTGGGGATAAAGGAAGGGAGGCATGCGGAGACACAGACCACATCCACAGCTGCGGAGACTTGGGGCCCCAGGAAGAGGACCGGAGGCAGTAGCAACCAGGTGGTGGGCTCCCTCCCTATGCCCCACAATCCTACCAAGGGATCAGCATAGGGCACAGCAAGGCCCAGCGTTCCAGGCACAAACCTCAGCAGAGAACTGTGGCTGAGCTCTCTCGGTCAGACAGAAAGCAGAAAAAACTCCATAACCAGGACCCCAACCCCACTCTCCCACAGCAATCCTACCCCTGCCCTTCCAGAGCCTTAAGCTGGTCCCTGAAGGGAAGGGTAGTGTCAGATTACAGAGATGCTGCAGCCCTCAAGAACTGGAAATAGCCACCTTACAGCTGTAACCTAGGGAAGAGGCTGGAAGGAGTGTGACTGCCTACCCAGCCCCCACTTTCCAGGGCAATTTCAGCTGCGGAATCACACACTGGGGTGGCAGAGGCAGCTCTGGGCTTTCAGCAGCTCAGAAATCTCACGCTCCCCACAGCCTCTGATGGAAGAAGTGCGCTAAGGCCCAGGAGACCTGCGCACAGGGAAGAAGCCCACCTCCCAGGGGCTAGGTGTGCTCTCAGTGCGCATTTGTGCAGGTGAAAGCACAAACTGCACTAACTTTGTAAAAACTACTAACCACACCCCATAGTCCCACTCATCTAGAACTGCATTGCCAGGGACACTGGGTGCCAGGTGACCAGCTCTGCCTCCACAAGAAGCAGGTGAGTTTTTGTACGGCAGACGACAACCTGGAGATAGCTTGGTGGACTTAAACCAAGACTGTCTCTGCTTTTT